TTATTATACAAGGGAGAGGATACAAAATTCAAACTGAGGGCTGTGGTGTTTGGTGCTCTGAGATCCAAGAGGAGGAAATAGTTCTATCTGAAGTGATCAGGGAGGGCTACCTAGGAGAAGCATGTTAGCAAACATAGAGGAAAGGGTAGCCATGAAGAATATATAGACTGGAAAATAGAGGGTAATAACGAGGCCTCTCTTTCTGTCACCACAGAGGACACAATATTTGAAAGCCTGTCAAGCCCTTTTAGCACAGACCCTGGGAAATGTTGCTATTTTAGAAGCTTGTGGCACATTTGAATGCAATAAAACAAAGTGTTCTGTGTTTGGGGGGAAAATCTTTGTCTTTTTCTCCAACAATTCATTCTACTTGCTAAGCCAGCCTTCTCTGAGGTCACCGGGAGGTCATGAAGGATATATGGATATGACTAAAGTCATTACATTACCCATTAGTCATTGGTTACAGTGTTGTTCGAATGAGAGAAACAGCTGGAAATGGTACAGGAACACAACTTGGGCAATGTTTACCCAAGATGGATATTTCTCGCCGTCATAGAGGTTCTGGCCCTACATACATCTCCTTTCTGTGTTGCTGAGCTAACTGATATTCAGAGACAATATTGTAAATAGTGGAAAGTGGAAGCTTAGTAAGATGTTATTCTCCCTGAGATAAGTTCCTTTCTTCTTTTTACCACCTTCCAGCAGCAAAGCGGGATGTGAGCTAGTTGTTGGTGCTCAAGCTTCAGTCTTCATTTCGAATGGCTCACTGACAACTCATTTCCTCCACAGACAGCTCTGTCCTGTTCTGCTCATGGGTTCAGACCCACCCAGAGGCAGCTGGAGAGAATTTCCAATGATCACCAAAACTTCTCTGCCCCCATCAGCAGCAGTAGCTGTCTGCTGGGATTTGAGATTACGATGGCCTTGGTGCGGCCAACTCCCCCAATTTCCTAACCAATGGGGGTTCAGCAGCAAAGAGCAGGGTGGCAGGGCTCCAGCTGGTATCAAAACTGAAGCCCAAATCACATCACAACTAAACGAAGAGAGATTAGATCCCAAGTTTCATAAGAATATTAAACACAAGATGCCGTGGCAAAGCCTGTTGTTTTAACATGGTAAAATATTTTGTTTTCTTTCCATTAGTGAGGGATTGTTAATTTCAGGCTTATATTCCCATTATTCCACTGAAGAGAAAGGACAAGTAATAGTTGGTTGGCCTAAAAGATTCTGGCAGAATATTTGAGTCATAAAGTATTAACCAAGCATCTTTTTGGACATTCTAAAATAAACTGTGTAGAGAACTAAGCATTTTATGCCAGGACAAAACTAAAACGCTCTTCTTAGAGGTTCCCCCACCCCTTTTCTGGACACAGTCTTATTGGTTGATAGCACCAAGCATTTGGCTGCAGTGCAAGGAATCACTCAGCTGTGGCTGATTACAGCTATAATTTTTTCCCTTGTTCAGAAAATCTTGTCATAAATATGTTTCTGAGACAGCAGGAGAGAAAAGGTTTGGGTTTTTTTGGTAATTTTTTATTTTTTTAATCTTGTGTTTTAGGGGAAGCCATTATTGAAATAATAGTGCCAGGGTAATATACCAGGGTCTGAGATAAAGGGGAGAAATTTAAGTGTTGTAAAAAAACAACTATTCCCATCCCTGGAATTGTGGGTCATATGGGAAGAGGTGGCCTCTAGCCTTGGCTCTGCTCAGATGATGTGACTCAAGACCATTCATACATTCATTCATTCAGCACTTAGGGAGCACTCACTCTATCTGAAACTGTCCCGCAATGGGGACACTGGGGACATGGAGAATAGATAAAGAACCTGTTCTTGGGGTGCCTGGGTGGCTCGGCTCAGTCATTTAAGCGTCTGACTTCAGCTCAGGTCATGATCTCACGGTACATGGGTTTGAGCCCCGCGTCGGGTTCTGTGCTGACAGTTAGCTCAGAGCTTGGAGCCTGCTTCAGATTCTGTGTCTCCCTCTCTCTCTCTGACCCTCCTCTGCTCAAGCTGTCTCTCTCTCTCTCTCAGAAATAAATAAAAACATTAAAAATGTTTTTAAATAAAAAATAAAATAAAATAAAAGAACCTGTTCTCAAACTACACTACTTCTCTGAATACTATTTCCTTATGTTTGCAATGTGAGGGATGCACTAGAATGATCTCTCAAGGTCTTCTGTCTCTAGGTCATGCATCTGTACTTCTCTATGGGGACACAATACACCCAGAATAACACTAATAGGAAAACTGGTATCCAGTATCACGTGCCAGACATTGTGCTAACTGACCATTTTTACATACACATTACCTCATTTTGTTTTCGCAAGTATCTCCTAAAACAGGTGTCATTAATAATGATAATTAACAAATCATTATATTATTATCATTAATTATTATATTAATATTAATTAGAATTGTTAATAATTTACCCATATGATAATGCCCATTTTACAGATGGGAAGACTAAGTGTCAGAGAGGTTGAGTTGCCTTTTGTTACAAATGAGAAAGAAGCGGAGTCAGACTCCAACCCAGCTCTGCTGATTCCAACCCCAGCCTTCTTCCCTCCTCTGATCTCCAGATTTTTAATGTTCATTCATCTCCCCTGGACTTTTCTCTGGGAATACTTATGGAAACTTACTCAAGAATCCCTGACAGTACAATACAAAATACCTCACTCTCGTCTTATGGGTCTTCTGTTAGCTTTCCCTCCCTCCTCACCTTTTCCTATTCATCCCAGGGGTGATCTTGCCACTTCATCCAAGTCCAAAGCTCTCCCTGCTTCGCTTTCACTGGTGCTTTACCTTCGACTTGGAATTGTTTTCGGTTTCATGTGTAGCCAAATTCTGTACTTTCCCAGACTTTATTTGTCTTACTCCTAAATTTAATTCATTCAGCCCCAAATAGTTGTCCAACACAGTAAGAAGTTAAAAAAGAGTATAAGATCATCTCCTTGGGGGGAATTAAGACATGCAGGTTATAGGAAAGAGTTATGGCCAAAATAAAGAGTTTTAGGCTTATAAGGGAAAGAGAAGGAAAGTAGCTGGAGTCATTGGAACTTGAGAAATAGTTAAGGCTTAAATAGATGAAAAGAGAAAGAGGCAAAGGGAGGTACAAGGTCAAACGAAGAGCAGAGAGGTCCACTGAGTACTGGAGAAGTAAGATGTCTTTCTGGCTAGAGCAGCTAAGTCTAAAGAACTATGGCATCTGAGGTGGGACAGTTGAAATGGATGTTATTGTTGAAGAATGTTCATCAGAAGGAACATTGGATTAAGAGTTTGAATATCTGTGTTCTCGTTCTGTCAATTTGTAATCTGGGGAACACTGATCAAGGAACCTGAGACTGTTTGCTCATCTCCTGGAGGCTACTTCAGTCTAGAAGAGAAGTCCTAGCTCCTTTGAACAGACTGCCTCTTCTTCTGCTGTTCCCACCTCCAGCCATTTTGTAATATGTCATCATGTTTGAGGAGTCACTTATAAGCTATGACTTTCATGACATGGTACAATCACATTCACTCTGTGAGAACTCTAACAGTGCTAAACATGCTTTCTCACAAAGATACAGAAGTTCAATAATACAATTCAAGCTATGCAAGTTAAATAATACTCACACGCATTTAGAAATGGAATGTTTCCCCTCCTAATTCAGTTATTTAACTTTAAGAAACTGAAATTCCTTAATTAAGTATTTTGGATTGCAACTTTAAGGGCTTGGGGGTTTCTGTTCTAACTTAACAATGTGAGGCAACAGTAAGATCTGAAAGCTTTCTTTTTAGTTATGCCTGGTTCAGGCACTTAGTGGTACCAGATAGGGTGGATAATCTCCAAGATGCTGATATGGATCAAAATGTGGCCAGGCAGGGTGCCTGGGTGGCTCAGTTGGTTTAGTGTCTGACTCTTGTTTTTGGCTCAGGTCATGATCTCATGGTTTGTGAGTTCAAGTCCCATTTTGGCTCTCTTCTGACAGCATGGAGCTGGCTAGGAATTTTCTCTCTGCTCCTCTCCTCCTTGCGCACACATGCACTCTCTCTTTCTCTCAAAATAAATAAATAAAAACTTAAAAAAAAAGAAAAATATGAGAAAACAAAAATAATGTTGGCAAAGATGTGGAGAAGTGGGAACACTCATAGCTTGCTGGTTGGAATGTAAAATGATACAATCACTGTAAAAAACATTTTGGTGGTCCCTTAAAACAGTTAAACATAGCATTACCATATGGTCGAGCAATTCTACTCCTACATATATATTCAGAAGAATTGAAAACTGGTACTCAAACAGATAGATGTACATGTATGTTCATAGTAGCACTGTTCAAAATATCCAAAAGATGGAAACAGCCCAAATATCCATCAACAGATGTATGGATGAACAAAATGCCATGTATTCATTCAATAGAATATTATTCAGCCATAAAAATGATTAAGGTACTGATACATGCTACACCATGGATGAACCTCAAAAAATTATGCTAAGTGAAAGAAAACAGACACAAAAGGCCATATACTATATAATTCCACTTCTGTGAAATATTTAGGATAGGTAAATCCATAGAGACAAAACACAGATTAGTGATTGCTAGGGGTGAGAGAAGGGGAGTATAAGGAGCAATTGCTCCTTATTTCTATCAGCAGTTTCCCGATAGAAATGTTTTGGAACCAGATAGAGGTTGTGGTTACATAAGCTCATGAATGGTTAAGGGCCCATTTAAGTGATTACTTTTATGTTACATGAATTTTGTCTCAGTAAAACAATTAAACGATAAGTTAACTAGACCTATTGTGATGATCATTGCATAATATATACATATAAGAAGTTAAATAGTAAAGAAATCAAGACTAGATTCTTTCCCTCTTATTTATGTCTGTCATATTTTATGGTTCCAATTTTAAAATATAGTAGCAACATCATGACATACCTTTGGTTATGACTTCTTTTGGGTTTTCTTAGCTGTCATGCTAATGAGTTCTACCATCATTTTCATATACTTTGTACAATTCAGATTTCAGTCCAAGGCTTCAGGAACATTGCGAACAGTTGCACTGGAATTATGCATCTGACCATCAACGACATGCCAACTCTGACGGATAACTGTATAAAAGTAGGTAGCTGCAAAGTACATTTTCTTCTCAGTCCTGTTTGATGCGCACATTTTCTAGTGGCCTGAATTATTGAAAAATATGAATGGGATTTTCACTTTAGCTGTTTTTAGAGTAAGAAAAAAATCATCTAAAAATCCATACACACACATACAAACAGTTGAACATTTGAATCCTTACATGCCCTAACACACTATTTCACAATTAGGATATTTTTGTTACAGAGACTATAACCTAAGCATAAATATTGACTTTTGTGCTACATGTCAGACTTCTAAATGTAGTGATTTTTTCAGCATTTCAGTTTCTCATATTTTCCCATACCTTTGTAACATAATTTAATTCTGATTCCTCTGCAGTACTCAAATGTGAGTGTACTAAAACATATTGAATAAATTCCCATTGTCTTTGAAATTAGGAAAATGTAATAGTTAATATGTCTGCTTCTGAAAGTATGCAGAAAAATAAATAACCTCATTGCTTTGCTAAGCTTGTTCTATACACTGTGGTAAATTTTATCCTCTTTTCTTCTTCTAAAGGCTTTAGTTGAAAGGTGCCCTCATATTACATCAATAATTTTCATCGGTGCGCCACATATCTCTGATTGTGCTTTTAAAGCTCTTTCTACGTGTAACCTCAGAAAGATCCGATTTGAAGGTCTGTGATATTAAAAATGGGGTTCAGCATTAATGTTTACTTTTACTCTGGTGGCATTACAAATATAATACTTGTCTTCTATTTTTTTTAAACAGGAAATAAAAGGATTACTGATGCATGCTTCAAATTTATAGACAAGACCTATCCAAATATCAGGCACATTTACATGGCAGACTGCAAGAGATTAACAGATGGTAGCCTTAAGTCACTTTCACCTTTGAAGCAACTGACCGTGTTGAATTTGGCAAATTGTATAAGGTAATGAGCCATTCAGTTATATGTTCAAGAAATATTGATTATCTAGAATGTGCGAGACCTTCTCCTCAAGGTGCTCATTGGTTAGTCGGGTAAACATGAAAAGCAGAAGTTCAAGTGGAGGGAAGTGCAGAGTTCTGGGGTAACACAAAGAAGGGGAACCCACCCCAGGTGGTCTTATGGAAGGGCAGGGTGATTGTCAGGCAAAGCTCAGGATAATTGGAATTATGGGCTCTTATGGGATTAAATCAATTCACAGGAACACTTATGGGCTACTTTTCTTAGTGAGGGTTCTCATGGCTAGTTCATTTAACAGGCCTTTCCCCAAATGGACTTATTAGTTGCTCAGGAGGAACCAACTTTACTGAAGTGTTTCTTCTTGAGTTGTGGTGAGATTTCTCCTTTGTGTGGATTCCCAAACATATGGACCGAAGAAGACAAACTCTTAATGAAATCCTTTCTTCAGGTGGGCTTTGGGCTTCTCCCTTGGTATTCTCAGGTGGTCAAGGGTCAAATTCTTGCTGAAAACTCTTCACTCGTGGATCTCAGCCTATTGTCCATGTACATTTTTTAATAATCTTATAGGGGCCACAGGCTGGCAAAATAATATTTGACTATGAAGTTGGCTAATATTTGTGAGAACATAGGACTACTCAGAGTAATAAGCTGAGCTACAAAAATCTTGACCCATGATCCCTATTATTAAAATGGGGAGGCACCATGGGTGACTGAGGGAACCGGATTTAAAATGGGAAAAATGTAGATTAGGAAACCCAGGCATCCAGTGAAGAACCCAGCAAGGAACTGAGGCCTCTTGCCAACAGCCACATGAGTGAGCTTGGACAGACCTCCCACCCTTAGTCAAGTTTTCAGATGACTAAAGTCCCAGCTGGAATCTTGACTGCAAGCTCATGAAAGAGCTAGGCTAGAACCATCCAGCTAGTCCACTCCCAAATTCCTGAGACCCAGAAGCTGGGAGGGAATAAATGTATAAGCACAAAGTTTGGGTTTATTTGGTACACAGTGATACAGAACACAGACACACACACACACACACACACACAGACACACACACACACACACTGTATCCTTTCTGTATTAATATGTGAAATAAAATTGAGTTTCGTCCTCATACTTCACTCAGGCTTCTGCAGGTTAACTAATTTTTTTAAAAATTTTTAAATGTTTTATTTATTTCTGAGAGAGAGAGAGACAGCATGAGCAGGGGAGGGTCAGAGAGAGAGGGAGACACAGAATCTGAAGCAGACTCCAGGCTCTGATCTAGCTGTCAGCACAGAGCCCAGTGCGGGGCTCAAACCCACGAACTGTGAGATCATGACCTGAGCTGAAGTCGGATGCTTAACCAACTGAGCCACCCAGGTGCCCCATGTTAACTGCTTTTAAAATAAATGGAGGTTTTCTATTTCTACCAGTATAGGTAACAAAACCTTTCAAATGAGTGCCACAATTTAGATCCTTGATGAAACATGCTTTAAATACACTGCTGAGAGTAAGAGAAAGATCCAATATCCAATATCCCGATTCTGTATCAACCTCTCAACAAATGCTCTCTGGGATGAATAGGGAATAGCAAGCAAACATAAAAGGGTGTTGCTGCTCTGAGCATAAACATTTATGTCAACGCCACCACTGAGAGAACAGCTCTGAGTAGGACTCAAGGTAGGGAAGCAGAACCTGAGACTTCCACCAGAGCTGGATCTCTTCAAGGCGAACAAAATGGTCTTAGGTAGATAGCACCAGCCTCCTGTAAAAAGTTAGCTTGAAGCTTCTCTGGAGGAAAGCATTTTCTAATTAGGCCTCCAAAACACCTACAGATTAAGAATAAAATAGAAGTGCTCACGATTAAAGATTGTTAGATGTACAAAGATATGAGTCATCAGAAAAAGCAAAATAAATTTTACCTTCAAATAATTCAGATTATTGGGGTTATCAGACATAGGATATAAGAAATATGTATAAAGTGTTTGAAGAAATTAATGGAATCAGAAATATGATCAGGGAACATTATATAACAAAAATAACTAGATTTATTTAAGAAAATAAAACTTTTAGGAATAAAAGATATAGCATAGTTATTGAAATGAAGAAACTCAATGGATTGCCAATCAGCAGATTAGAACTCACTGAGAAGTACAGAGATTGAAGATAATCTCTTCCATGATAGCAGAGTAAAAATTAAAAAAGATGAAAGATATGAAAGAGTGTATCATGAGGTGAAGGTATCAGAATTTCACAGACTTTTAAAAATTCATCTTTAAGAGATAATCCTAAAAGATTAACTTTGAGAGTCAGAGAATATACATTTTCCTCAACCACACATCACTCCTTTTTAAAATGGACTGTGCATGAAGTTTGAAAGCAAGTTTGGACAATTTTCAAATTATTGGTATCAACAAATTATATTTTCTCACTACAATGCTATTAAATTAGAAATCAGTAATGAAAAGATAAAATTGAAAACATATATATGATTTAAAAATAAAAATTCCAGGGTATCAGAATCACCTAAGGAGCTGAATAAAACTACATATGCCCAAGCCCTACCATACAGCTACTAAATCTGAATATTTAGGAATGGAATCCAGCTTGTGTATTTTTAAAAAAGACAACATGGATGCTTTTGATGCACAACCAGGTTTGGGACTAACTACATTAACCAATTAACTTGTACCATTACCTGAATAATCCTTTTCTGTTGATTTTTGATGCCTCCTGGATTATAATATAAAATTATATATACGTATACAAAAACATATACATACTTACACATATATATGTACATACACACATATATGAGTTATATAGATGGGTGTGTATATGTATATCTGTTTTCAGACTACCTTTTCTGTTCCATTCATTTATCCATCTTCTATCTAATCTTGCACAGTATTTTATCTGTCAAATGGAGAAAATAAGAGTATATACTCAGGATTGTTGTCAGGATCAAATATGATAACTCATGTAATATGCTTAGAATAGTGTCTGGCATATAATAAGCATTCAATAAATGTTATCTGTTATTGTTGCTTTATAATATGTTTTAATGGTCTAGTGGAATTATACTCTCCTTATTAATTTGATTTAACATATGAGTTGTTTTCCTATTTTAAAAGCTTTTATATGTCTGTGGTTATTGCTGTTTTAATTTATTCTTATATCCTTCTCAAGAATCCTCTTTATTTATTTTTAAAATTTAAAAAAATGTTTCATTTATTTCTGAGAGAGAGAGAGAGGGAGAGAGAGAGAGGCAGTGTGAGCAGGGGAGGGTCAGAGAGGAATTGGAAGCAGCCTTCAGGCTCTGAGCTAGCTCTCAGCACAGAACCCGACCCGGGGCTCAAACCCACAAATCATGAGATCGGACCTGAGCCGAAGTCGGATGCTTAGCCGACTGAGCCACCCAGGTGCCCCAGGAATCCTCTTTATTTAAAGACTGAATCCTCATTCTCTATTTTCAATCTCATTTATTTTTGATTCTTTATCCTTCTACATTTCAAAGGAGCTTTTCAAATATGCCTTCCACTTATTAATTTCATATTCTAAGAGAGTCAATTTTGGTTTTGATGACTTGAATTAGGTTATTGAATTTTTAGTTTTTTCACCATCTTTTTTTTTTTCTTGTTTGTTAATTTGAGTATAGTTGATATGCAATGTTACATTAGTTTCAGTTATACAACTTAATGATTTGACATGTTTATACATTATGCCATGTTCACTATCTGTATGTAGCTATCATCTGTCCCAATATAGCACTATTACAGTATCATTAACTGTATTCCTTATGCTGTACCTTTCATTCCTGTGACTGATTCATTCCATAACTGGAAGCCTGTATCGCCTATACCTCTTTACCTGTTTTGCTTATCCTCCTACCCCCTCTACCTTCTGGCAACCATCAGTTTATTCTCTGTTTTTTATAGGTCTGATTCAGATTATTGTTTGTTTATTCATTTTTTTAAAGATTTCACTATGAGCTGAATCATATGGTTTTTGAATTTCTCAGTCTGACTTGTTTCACCTAGCAAAATACCCTCTAGGTCCATCCATGTTGTCTCAAATGGCACAATCTCACACTTTTTATGGGTGCCTAATATTCCACTTGTATATATATTGTATATTGTGTGTGTGTGTATATATATACATATATATGTATATAAATATATTCACCACATTACTTTATTTATTCAATGATGGACCCTTATATTGCTTCTATATCTTGGCTATTATAAATAATGCTGCAATAAACATGGGGTAGATATATTTTTTTTGAATTAGTGTTTTCGTTTTCTTTGGGTAAATATCCAATAGTGGAATTAATGGATCTTATGGTAGTTCTAGTTTTAATTTTTTGAGGAACTTCCATACTTTTTTACACGGTAGTTGCACCAATTTACATTCCCAATAGTGCACAATGGTTCCCATTTCTCTACATCCTCACCAATACTTATTATTTCTTGTCTTTTTTTTTAATGTTTTTTTATTTATTTCTAGGAGAGAGAAAGAGAGAGACAGCGTGAGCAGGGGAGGGTCAGAGAGAGAGGGAGTCACAGACTGAAACAGGCTCCAGGCTCTGAGCTGGCAGTCAGCACATAGCCCGATGTGGGGCTCGAACCCACGAATCGCGAGATCATGACCTAAGCGAAAGTCGTACGCTTAACCGACTAAGCCACCCAGGTGCCCCTATTTCTCGTCTTTTTGATATTAGACATTCTGACTGGTGTGGGGTGATATCTCATTGTGGTTTTGATTTGCATTTCCTTGATGATTAGTGATTTTGAGTATCTTTTCATGTGTCTGTTGACCAATAGTATGTCTTCTTTGGAAAAGTGTCTATTCAGTTTTTCTGCCCATGTTTTAGACCGTTTTTTGTTTTTTGTTTTTTGGGGTTTTTTGGTGTTGCCTTACATCAGTTCTTTAATATTTTGGATATTAACCCCTTATCAGATATATCATTTGCAAATATCTTCTCCCATTCAGTAAGTTTGCTTTTTTGTTTTGTTGGCTACTTTTGCTGTGCAAAAATTTTTCATTTCGATGTAGTACCCCAATAGTTTATTTTTGCTTTTATTTCACTTGCCTTAGAAGAGGTATCTAGAAAAACATTGCTATGTTTGCCACCTGTTCTTATCTCAGGTGGCCACCTTTTCATCTCAGAATGCATCTTAGAATATCTTTATTTTTGTTACAGTCAAGTCACCCCTTATTACCTACTGCTTCTTTATACTGTTTAATATGTTCTCTTGTTTTTGTGTTTTCTTTTTCAAATCATTTTCAGAGATATGCTTTCTTAAGTCTTACAAATCCCATGCTGCATTTGTTTTCTTGTTAGTAAAAATATCTCTCAATGAGTACTCCAGCCCTGATGTTTGCCAGCAGATAAGTTGATCAGTTGTGCCTGCATTCCTCTCCTCCCTTATCCCTCCTGTTCCCCCATCCACCCACTCACTCACCAGGCCTTTTATTGCTTTCCCAAGTCCAGTGGTCTCCAAATAGAATTCTAAATAAAGCTCCCAATGGAAGACAGGGAGCGGATGGGCCAAACCATTTCCAGCCATTTATAAAGCATGCTTCGGGGGAGGGGAGGGGGGATGGCACAGATACAAAGGCATCTCTGATTAGGGATAGACAATGTAGGAAGACTGAGATCAAGGTCTTCTAAGTTTTCTGTACTTCAGCAAAAATATCCATAGGTCACTTGTTGGATTTCCAGTCCAGCTAACTTGACCTTGAATTTAGTGAAAATTCCTCTAAGATTCTGGCAATAGCTTGACTGTTAGTCTTGGTTCTACCTCTCATAAGTTTTGGTGTTTTTCTTGTGCAGGAGTTTGGATCAGGGACTGCTTAACTCGATCACATTTTAACCCAAGAAAAAGATTTCAAGAACTATCTATCTTATTAATAATTACAATAATTATGCCACCTAATTAAATGAAAAATGAACAGGAAGAGTACTGTTATTAATACTTCTCTCATTACTATCATTTATACCTTTTCTATTACACTAAAAGTTATATTCTCAAATTTGGTTTCAAAACGTTGGCACAATCAATGCCAATATAAGCACATTACCATGTGATTTTAGGATTTATTGAATGTAGTAACTATTACTTAGGTAGTATTCTATATATTTACATATAAAGCTTTTCTTACTCTTTCCTACAGTATTGGTGATATGGGCGTAAAGCAATTTCTTGATGGTCCTGTGAGCATAAAGATAAGAGAGCTAAATTTAAGTAACTGTATCCATCTGGGTGATGAGTCTATTATGAAACTATCAGAACGGTATGATAAAACAATAATATTTTTACATCGTATCATTAGTAATTGTACATTTGCTAATAGGAGAGATCAGAGTTAGACCTTCAGAGGGATTTGGGAAACATCAGGAGGCCAAGAAGCTGGTCTAATATTCAGCGAAATAAAAAGAAAAGGCACTGGAGCCAGAGATTAAACTAGTTTTTTTGTTTTTAATCATATCTGAGTGGTTTCTTATTAATCTCATAGTAGAGAAAGTTTCAGATGGAATCATTAATGAAGTTATCACTCTCTAGACATGAGTGACTTCTTCTCTGTGCTTTTCAAGGATAGTACCTCTGTGTAAACCTTTGCTCCAGCGTTTGCCAAGGGATGTTCTGCTCAGTTTATTCTTGATTCTCCCTACTTGTCAGAGATCTTGTGTACGTGACAGGGTCAAGCCCAATTCCTCTGGCAAACTTTTAAGGGATAAATGAGAAACTTAACCTTGTACTTTTAGGGGTCATTCGTCATACTTACATGACAGTTTTCTGCATGCAAGTGATGTTTTTTCTCATTAGAAGTTACAGTATGAAATGAAACCACAGAAAGACTGTCTTATATAGTAACCCACCTCTCTCTCATCCTACTGTGTAATCCAAATTATTTTCCACTTTTAAGCCTACTTTTATTTTAAAAAAATTTTTAATGTTTATTTTTGAGAGAGAGAGAGACAGAGAGAGAGCAGGGAAGGGACAGACAGAGAGGGAGACACAGAATCTGAAGCAAGGTCCAGGCTCTGAGCTGTCAGCCCAGAGTCTGATGCAGAGCTTGAACGTACAAACCATGAGATCATGACCTGAGCCAAAGTCAGAAGGTTAACCGACTGAGCCACCCAGGTGCCACTTTTAAGCCTACTTTTATTTTGAGAAAAAGAAAGTCCTGGCTTCAATATCATTTGGTTTCCTTAGATAGTCTTGATATAAAGAAATGGCTACCAACACTGTGATTAAAAGCTAAAATTAATTCTTCATGCTGCTTTCTTTCAGCTGCCCTAATTTAAACTACTTGAATTTGCGAAATTGTGAGCATTTGACTGACCTAGCGATTGAATACATTGTACACATATTTTCCTTGGTATCAGTAGATCTCTCTGGAACAAACATCTCTAATGAGGTAAAGAAAATTTTCAGAATAGTTCCACGACTTTTATTGTTTTCAGTAATATAACAATTGAGAGAACATCAATTATTTTTAGGTCCTAAATTATCAGATTATAAAAGGCAAGTTTAGGAATACTGCTTCTGGAATAGTGACAGATGAAGTTATTTGTAAGTTAAGGGTCTTGTTTCTCTGCTTAAAAAATGGAAAATTCTGTGTTTTGAGCAAAGTCCTGACAGACTGGAGTGTTGTACGACAGATCTGAAATCTGTTTCACTATAGAAGTATGTAAATGGGGACATAATACATTCCAGTTGGCTTATATATGTTTTTCTTGTGGACTGAACATTCTGTAAAACTACGTGAGTGCCTTGAGACCTCACTTTTTAGTTCAAAACTGAAATCTAGAAATGGCCTCATCAAATCTACAAAAGAATACATTTTAAGGAACTCATTTCCTGCAAGCGGCTGATGCTACTCCTCAGAGTTGAAACTCAGTCCACACGTATCTTATCACTGCAGCACTGCCCCACTTACTAGTCAAAAGGAAGATAAACTAAGAGGTATTTGCCATGTTTCTGAAAGCCTTTAGTGGGCTGTAGTTAGATAAGGAATGCATTGGCTTCTCTTAAAAATCAGTGCATTGGGAAGGATATAGGAAGAGAACAGAGGTGAGGATCTCTACCTGATCTGCTCACTAAATCCCTATTCATCCCTCAAGCTCATCAAAATCCATGAGGCCTTCTCTGAAAAGCCCTACTTTACAGGCAAGTACAGGAACTACTTCTCTCTGTGTATCTCCTGCCCCAGTACATCCTTTAGCATGACCCGTTTCTCTCCATTTCTTACTGCATTACTGTTATCTGTGATGTGTCCATTCTTCCCCAACATTTAGTGGGCTCTGTTTATTTGTCTATGTTCTTTCCTTTCTTTATCTAAGAGTGAATTTAGATTCAGCCTCCATCCTGCTAGATGGTCTCCTCTCCCCTTCCTTGGTAGTGTCATCTATGTGTGGTACGGGAGTGGGGTGGGGGCAGTTACTTGTAGTCAATGCATTTTGGTGGTGGCAAGCCTGATTTTCACAGCGTTGTCTTCTGTCCAAGCTGGAATCCACTGGGATGTCTGTAGACTCATTTGGTTGTTGATTTCCTGTTTAGTTAGATCCCTGATGTGTCTTCCTTGTCCCAGCTCCAAAGTCCCTTTAAGTCTGCAGGCTCCCTTGTCATGTGTGCCTTCCTCTGGACACCTCTGGGTCATGCTGGGGCATGGGGACTCTGTGAGGCTATCCTAGGTCCATAGTCCTAGACATCCTCTTCAGACATTTTCCTGCTCTCACATCTGGGTGTGTTTGCCCGCAGATCCATGCCTCACCCTTCTCTTGCTCTGCTGCAGACTGGCTGACTCATGTCCACTAGCTTCCAGTTGGGTTTGGTGCTTGTCAGGCATTTGTGAGCAACTGGAGAGGAAGACGAAGAAAGAGACCAGAGTTTTCCTCCCCCTTCCTTTGAATCGTCATCATCAGCTGCATCTCCTTCATGATCTTCTCCCTCCAGTCAGGTCTCCTGTGGCCCCAGCTTCCCTGGGTGACCTTGGTCTGTGGGGTCCAAGAACACTGGTCCTTCTCATTGGCCTTCCAGCACAGGAGGACTAGTGGCTTCCTGCTGCTGCTCACATCTCTAGATTGTGTCCTTCCCTTTTTACTTCTTAGCTTCTTTACCTCATATGTAACCAGTTCCCTATCACAATTAAATCTCCTCAGTTTAAATACAGTTTCTGTTTTCTTCTTTAGATCGTAGCTGACACAACAAGCAGCCCGGGGAAAACTCAGATGCCTTGATGCTTTTCACAACTGTTCCAGAGAAAGGAGGGATGGGTTTCCATTTACTTAGGTCCCCAAACCTATCAGGAGGTTCCAACCTTCTGTGCAACTGAGCAGAGTCCAGGGAGGTCTAGAACAGGGCCTTGAGTGGGGGATCCCCCAGTATCTCATTCTTGCTTCCCCTTGGTTCCCCCTTCCTGTGCTCTTCCCCTCGTTCTTCCCTTTCCTGTCCCTTCCCCTGCTCTCTCCCTCCTCCTCCCCTTCTGTTCCTCTCCCTTGTTTTCTTTTTAGCTCTTCTTCTCTTCTCTTGATATAGACTATCTAATCTGGGGGTGGGAAAAACTGATTACATGGTTTGAAAAATAGTATGTCTCAAGTCTTTCATCGTTTAAAAATTTAAAGCTTAAAGGCCTGGGATATATATTTTTTCCTCCTGTGTTCTTCTGTGAAAACCTTTCCCTGACACATACAAGTAGAATGCCCAGCTGCTGTTAGAAGGGTCACGAGGTCACAGAGGTGTAGGATCAAAGCACATTACAAAACACATCACAGTATCGTTCCGCCACAGCACTCCTTGCAAGCCTGAGCAGCGAACGTTTTTTGAGCAAAAGCAGTGAAGCTTAAATGCTTTAGCCTAGTTTTTAGCATTTGGGGAAAACTGAGTTTTTATTTTCAAAGACCATATATTAAAGTTCTATATATGGAGGACAAGGTAAAAACTTAAAAATATAGCCTCAAGTCCCATTCACTGTTGTTGTTTTTCTTGTAAGGAATATATACACTCTGAGAGAGCTGTAAATGGATATCTATGGGGGAGAATGCTAGTTATATTCTGCTAAAACATTGAAAAATAAGTCTTCTGAAGGTTGTTGCTTTTTTCCTCTAAATTGTTTAAACTCTGATCTAGAAGGCAATTGACTAAAAAATAATAAAAATAAAAAATATGTTGACTAACTTGAATATAAATTTAAAAAAATAAAAAATAAATAAAAGGCAAATGGTTGACAATAGAGTACCACAACAGCTGTGGAAGCTAACCTCAAATAGTCAAAATAAAATCAGTTAGCCTAGATATCAGTTTGGACACGTAAACATCAGTCTGGATTGTAGGTCTAATGAAGTGCAAATCTGACTAGAGACTTAACATATGGGATTTAAACTCTGGAAGGTTACAGACCAATTATGCCTTTTGGAAAAAAAATAAACAAACCTTTCTTACATTTTCTAATAATTATGTTCACTCCTAATTTTTTTTCAATAATGAGTAGAATGGCACTACTCATTTAGTTAACAAATCTTTATTCTGACTACTTTGTAGTCAGTATTGGGAGTAGTGCTGGATGAACGAGACAGACATGGCTCCTCAGGCATGTGACAATTGTTACAAACTGTGATGGGTATAGGGAACAGCCTCCCTCAGAGAATCAGAAAAGACCTTTTCCAAGAAAGAAAGAAGGGGTATGTGCTGAGCCAAAGAAACAGCCTGAACAAAGACACAGAAATTTACAAGTATGGTGGCATCAAGGAAATGTGCACCTTGGGTATGGCTTGATCATGAGGAGAGTGAGAAGGGATGATGCCTAGGAGACAAGCAAGGACCAGGTCATGAGGGACCCAGAAGCAACACTGAGGAATTTGTCCTCTGCCCTTTTGGCAATGGAAGGACATTCAGGACTGTCAATTAGACTGTAACCAGGTCAGACAGACATGTTTTAAAGATGACTACCTGCTGGACAGACATGGGAATAATAGATGAACAAGAGGCTAATTTTATAAAGCAGTAATCCAGTTATGAGCGTCTGCATTACGGCAAGAGCTAGAGAAGATGATAGTAGGGCTGAAGCAAAGTCTGCAGATTTGAGAGAAACGGAGGAAAATGAATCACCAGGAGATAGAAATAGATTGAGTATGGGGTAAAGAAGAAAGGGAGGGAATAAGGGATGAAGCCAGATTTTTGGCTTGAGCATCTCTTTAAATGGTGGCATCCCTTACTGAGCTGTGTCCTTTCCACACTGTGAGGAGCAGGGTTGCTGTTTGGTTTGAGTCACCTGCAAGACAGCTTTAGAGAAATGTAGAGAGCTCAGAAAATAAGCAGAGAAGTCACTGAAATTCACTCCTCAGAGACAGAAGAGCTTTTTAGGTTTGCAGAGTGTGAAGGTATGTTGCACTCTGAAAGTCATGGAAACTCGCAAGGAAGTTAATCAGCGAAAGCAAAAGTACAGATATTTAGAAATTTAGAAAGATGCTTAAATGAAAGAGCTAGCTTAAATGAGGGGAGCTAAGAGGATAACAGTTACTTAAAGCTGTATATGTTTCTTATGATAAATAGAAAATAGTAATTAATGTATGATCCAGTAATCAAAGTATGTATAACAAGTTATCTAGAAAGAATATTTTAGAGAGTGAGGAAATAAATCCATTTTCCTCTTCTAATATAAAGAGAACAGGGTTTACAAGTGAGGGAAATAGCTTACTAATGTGATGGTATCTTAAAGTATCATTAAAAGTCTTTAATCTCTTAGACAGCTTTTCTTAATGTTTCATTAAGTGGGATGTATTCATTCCCTTACTACCTCAGAGGATTGTTTGAATATGAGGTTATATCTCCATGTATGTGGGAAAATGTTTTCCTCTGGTTGGGAGAATTATCACTTACTGAAGATCACAGTACCTACAGTTAGGTAAGTTCAATCCATTGCTTAAGTTGCCTTAGTCACTGCCATATTTGCTGTTTAAAGGAAAAATGAGTCAGAGTAATGTTCCAGACCGTGTGCGTAGACAGTGGTTTAAGGCTCTTTCATTTGCCTGATTTTTGACATTTTTACTTTTTTAAATTAAAAAAAAAAAGTCTTATGTTTTAAATTTATTTTGAGAGAGAGAGATAGAGAGCATGGGAGGGGTAGAGAGGAAAACAGAATCGCATGCAGACTCCTCACTGTCAACATGGAGCCCAATATGGGGCTCAGACTCATGAACTGTGAGATCGCCACTTGAGCCGAAATCAAGAGTCAGACGTTTAACTGACTGAGCTACCCAGGTGCTCCTGATTTTTGAAATTTTTAATTATGAGTACCATACCTTGAGTGCCCATAATGTACAATATTTCCTGGAGTTCCCTTACTAGGATGTGAGATCCATGAAGAGTGAGACTTTGTTTTGTTCACTGCTGTTTTCCCAGAATCCTGGGGATAGTAGA